CATTTGCCGTTGGTATTATTATGATTATTGCATTGTTATTGGCTTTTTATTGCATCTGCAATTGTTCCTTGTCTTCCCGCTTAAAGCGGAAAAACTTGGGGCATGGCATGCAAAAGTAGACCGACCATTAGTGTCATTCCCCCAATTGTTTACGTGCCCGGGCGGCGCTGACAGGATGGGACACACACACACACTCTTAGGACCGCGCGACTGGGGGGCCCTACACGAATTTTCATCATGGATTTTTGTGCTGCTTGCCATTTGATTTTTTCCGCTCTTTTTCGGAGGGGAGTTCAGGGATCTGAACGGACCCCCGTTTGCTGTTCTTTGGATGTTGTCGACCGACATTGTTGCGATATTGTTAGCGCATGTAGGAATACACAAGCAACGCCGTTTTGTTGGCACAAGCGTGCCGGGCCAAACATATTTGCAGGAGGTGGGGTGGTGTGGTGGTGTGGGATTTGTGCGGCTTCAGGAGGTTTTTGGGAGGGGTCATGGCCCTATCATGGCTCTACCCGCCCTGTCGCTTACCCAAAACGTGGCACTTGAACACGATTTTGTTTGGGCTGTCTCTCTCTCCGCCTCTCTGTCATCTCTGTGGCTGCGTGTGTGCTGTGTTTTGTCAAACTTTCCGTATACTCTTGCAATGGGTATTCGAATTTTTTCTAGGATGAAAATTAGGCTGGACTGTCTAATAAAGTCTCTAATCGGAATAACTATTACTATCCGTCATTGGAAGGATCTAAAGGGTATCTTAAGCTTCGTCTTCCCTAATCTAGCTGTTTTTTTTTGGTTGGTTGTCCACTTTTATTGTTTTGTGGTCTGCATATTATATTTGGTCATTCCGTGTTTTACCTATGTGATTTTTATTCGTTTGTTGTTGTGGTATTGATTTTCGGTTTTTATTTATTGCAGCTGTTTTGACCATTTTGGGTTTGTGGGTTATTAGAAATGAAATGTTTGGAAATTATGTGAGTTCAAACTCAAAAGCAAAAGTCATTTCAAACGGGTTACGGGTTGAAGGCTCTGCTACGGCGAAACTTTTTCAATATCTCCCACTCGTATGCATTTGTTTAGGCGAAACTATAAAAAGTTTCCCAAAGGATGAATGGCCGCGGTTGTGTTTTATGAAGAATCATTTGTAAGGAATAAAGTAAACAAGGGAGTATTAACAGTAGACCTTGATGATCTCGTCGATGACCTCACTCATCATCATCATCATCGTTTATTTTAGTCCCCAACTATCGGGTATCTCGGGTCATCTTGGTGCCAGATCTAATTATTTCCATGCAATTTAGTCGGTCTTCTATCTGCGGTCGGTAATCAGCTACGGCAACTTGTTTAGCATACGCAATTATGTGTGAATTTATATCTTATATATGTTTATACATATATTTTTGATATTTTAGCTGTGTAATTTCGCATTCATGGCTGGTAAGCTCTGACTCTGGCTAATTGACACTTAACATGGCTTGAAGTATTTTGAAGTTAATTGTGTGTCGACGTCAACGATGTTTCTCATTCCCCCCCTCGGCTTCCCCTCTCCCGCACCCTTCAAACATCATACGAGTACACATGTTGGTTTACCGAATTTTGTGTGTTTGTATTTAAATTGCCTTGCTTGTTTGGTGGACTGCTGTAGTTGCTGTGCCGTACTGTCCGGGCTGTCCATGCCGTTTGTTGCTGCATTTGATAGGTATATGTATGTGTTCCATCGATACACCTGCGAAAACACAACATTCGGGAGCTACGCACAACAAAACAGAGTTGGAGGATTTCTAAGCAAAAGCCCATTATACATACAACCCAATTTAAATAGTTTATCTTTTGTTTGCATTTATTTGAATATTTGGGAAAAATAATATTTGGGGTAGCGACAAATCACGGAACTAATTGATGATGCAATATTTTTATAATTTGATATGTTAAACGGCTTAAACAAAAGTTAAATATATTCCCAAAATTTGTTTTCACTTCTTATCAAATTATTAATGCAAGAATATTTTTAACTTTATAACAATAAACAATGAAAAAATGTATTTTAGTTTTATAATTGTTGCGTATACTTTTATGTTAAGTAAGGAAACGCCATGTTAAATAATGTATTGGTTCAGATCCAAATTCGGGGTTGCACTCTTTTACTAAAATGTATAAGAAAATTTAGTCATTTGTCTGTTTCACCAAAACCCAAAAATATACGCCCCTATATCCATTTTTGTTATATAAATCTCATACCATATGAGAATCTAATTGGACTTTTTTTTTTACTTTTTGTAATTAAAGCCTAGATTTTTGTGTTAAACAAAACATTTTGCCCAATTCGCAGTTGCCAAAAAATATAGACTGTTAACTCACGATTGTACTTTTGTAGTTTATTTATTTTCAAAATGTTGTTTCTGCTGGAACGCAATCGCTGGGATATTTTTGCTTTTGTTCTTCAGACTGGCGAGACGCTTTTGTGATATATATATTTCTTGTTTGTTTTTTTTTTTTATTTGAAGCTTGTTCCATTTTCGATATCCATTTGAAATGTTTCGCAAAAAACCAAAACAAAGTATCGTTAAAAAAGCTCCGGCTCCTCCCTCCACTCGATGGACGCTCATGTCGCCAGACAATTGTGACCAGCCGTCAGTCGAGTGCATATAACTTGACAGTTCTGCTTTTTTTGGTTTTGAGAGTATCTGAATGATAAGTTGATTTTATCGAGAGCGGGGAAAAAACCGCAAGTTGGACAAAAGACTCGTTAAATTCAAGTGTTTTAACACTTGGCGTGTGATAAAACATTTCACTCCAATGAGTTTGGTTACGAATATAAATTATATTTGGGTTTTCATAGTTGACTGGGAACTGGAGATGAATTTTCCTGTTCTGTGGTGGTTCTGGGAGTAGTTTTGATATTGATTCACAGTTTGGAAGTTATTTGATGAGTGGACAGTTGTAGCATTCGTCTTTTTGATCGTCTATTAAAACTATAATTGGTACCAAGTTATATACTCTTATTTGTATGGTTCCTTTAATGATTGCCGATCTTCATTCAAAGAGGAAGATTGTCAACTTCCTGTCCGACTGATTTTTCATGTTGATAGTGCATTTATGCGAAGGAATTTTCATGAACAATGTCAGCACTTTTCCCTCCTAATCGATGCTTAATAACTCATCCTACATCTGCGATGAAAAAGGTGAAGATTGGAATTTTTTACGAGTATGTGTTGCATTCCGTTTCAATTCCAAACCCGGGATACATTTACCTTTATTGAGTGCGCCCTTGCCAACCGGTATTTCAGGTATTTCTAGATACATTTCGGCAAATATTTTTGCCGCTGTTTCTTTCGTGTTGTGTCGAATGGAAATTCCAGTTCGAAAATGGTGAAAATGTCGCTCGCTGTGGTCGTCTGGCATTGTGATTAGGGAAACAATTTTCCTCATTGCATGTGCAGAGATGCATAAATAATTGAAATGTTCGCATTAGTTTATCATACAACTGTGCATGTTGCCAGCTCAAATTTCAATAAGCACTCTAATTGTTTTTAAGTGTTTTTTCCAGCAGTAGCAGCAACAGCAACAGCAGAACTCAGTGCTGTGCTGCGCAAATGAGCCGTAATTGCATAATTCTAATTTAGCGTCGGGCTCCTAAGCACCAAAAACATGTTGACTACAATTTATGCACATGCATGAGTGAGTGAGTGAGTGAGTGGGTGTGTGTGGTGAGTGTGGGTATACGAGAATGAGTGTGTGTGTGAGTGTGAGTCGCTTATTCACTCATTTTACTTAATAACTCACGGCGATTGCAGGCTGCAGCCGGGGCACAGGAGCGAGCACAGCGGATCCGGACACGGACGCGGACACGGACTCAAAGTTGCAGTTACAGTGGGAGTGGTATAGTTGTTGGGTTGACTGGTTGTCGGTTGTCGGTTACCTGGCTGCCATAATTGAGGCAGGGAGTCGGCAGGTGTCGGTGGGTGGGGCTCCTGCTCCTGCCACTCTGCCAGGCGTCAGAAAAGTTTAACGTCCTCTCGCATGTGGCACAGGTGGCAGCAAGTGGCGGAAAATGTTTCACAGGAAAAGTTGATAGTCAAAGATCATAACTTCGGTCGGCTACTAAGCTTTCCATTAGCCATCTAAATTCTCTCTCCCATACAAAAAACTTTTATTAAATGTATGGATTAAATTATGTGTAAATCTGCAAACAGTAAAGTATTTTTCTTTTAGTAAAAGTTTCACTAGAGTTTTAAAAATATAAATCTATTTACCATACGACAGTGAGTCGGTTCCCTGCATTGTAAACATTAATTGCCACTTTTTACAGAAAGATAGTTCAACATAATATATTACGATATATGTTTTGTTGAATGGCTACGAACTATCCTGCCTGTAGATGTGAGTCTTTAACAGTCGGTTGCAATAAGCCACCTTAATGAAATGATCGAGTTTCATTTTGCAGCTTGATTTCTGTGTGTCACCTGTTCTTCGGAAGTGTCTGGAAATCTTATATATATGGATATAAGTACCCATGCAAGCCATGCCTACATACAGGTATACACTCGAGCTCTGTTTGGGTGTGTGTGCATTTAAATCCTTATTGCGACACCTGCACAAAGCAAATACCAATTAAAGGCTTTTCACATGCAGCCCCACGTGAGTTCGTCTCTCCCTGGCGACCGCACTGCCAACAAACTGGTCTGGAAGCGAGCAGGATGGGGTGGTGGCAGTTGTGTGTGGTGTGGTGTGGTGTGGGGCAAGGAGCAGAGACCACACTCACATGCTATTAAGTTGCCACATCCCACCAACATCCACATCCACTCCCACACCCACTTCAACCCACACCTCAGGCACTCCAAACTGACAACAAACAAATTTAACCAACGAGTAGCTGACCGTGTCGTGCCAGACCAATTTATATGGCCGGGTCGGACAGTCGTCGTCCAGCCAGTCCGAAACGAAGGCCCAAGACCTTGCGATCGGCTTATTGAACGTCTCTGGGTCCAACAGCAGCAGCAGCCATGGCCCGGCAAATAGATGCGGCGGCCAATGGCCAGAAACATGGGCAGAGACACAGTTGGAGGGAGCTGGGTTGGATATTTGTAACCTACTTAAAGGATTACTGCGCCAATTGTACTCTGGCCGGTTTCTCCTACATTGCCAATTCCAGGTGAGTTTTATGTGTGGCACCTTTTCGTGTGTGGATACCCACCGAAATGAATCTTCCTCGATGGTAGGCTTCATCCAACGGAGCGCATCTTCTGGCTGATTTGTGTCGTACTCTCGGCCATGGGCTGTTACTATCTGATCGCCGACTACCAGCGCAGCTTTCCCATACGGGCCGTTAGCATTGTCTACGAGAGTTTGCCACCATTTTCCAACTGGAAATTTCCGACTGTCAGCGTGTGCGAAGTTGTCTACAAATACGATCTGGGACCCGAAGTGGAGGATTACGTAAGAAGGTAAACCGTAGATACCCTTGTTTGTGGTTCAGATATATTGCAAGTCTTGTTCCCAACGGTAGTTTGGGTGGCGACGTCGATGGAGATTATAACTTCGATGTGGAGACCCATGTCTCGTTCATTCTGTTTCCCCATCAATACCACGAAGGCACCATCAAGTCGCATTGTCAAACACCCGAAAACTGCGACGAATGCGCTACCTGTCCTAAGTCGGACTACCGCCAGTTGTTGACCAGGGTAAGTGAGAATTGAGTCATCAATCGAATGCTTAATGAGTGCTAAAACATGCAAAAGGGATCCATGAATTTATAATGAAGGCAGATCTGTAGATCCCTTGTAATTAACTAAAATGCGTGAGAATTTTGTTCATACAGCCTGAAAATATGAAGGCAGAAGAAATCTGAAGCCCAAAACTTATAGACACTGTTTGATTCATTGACAAAAAGGGAAAACACTAAATGAATAGTATTGAAAATTGTAGAAAGTAGAAAAATTAACAGTTTGTATCGTTTTATGATATTATTTATTTTGTTAGACTCTTTAAAAATTAAAAAAAAACACATTTTCGAAGCATAAGAACTGGCTCTTTCGTATTCCACTGAATATTCTTGTAACGCATACCAAATGTATCTTTTTTCATTCCCAGTTTGGGGCCAACTGTTCAGATGTGTTTATACAGTGCAAACTTTCGCATCGTGAGTTCGATTGTTGTCAATACTTTCTGCCCTTGATCACGCCCTTCGGCCGTTGCTATATGCTCAATTCGCTGCAGAACAACATACGTGGCTCAGAGCACTGGCTGCCCAACAGCCTGGAGCCCGGCACAGAGACGGCCTTGATGGAACTGCTCACCCATCGTCCGGTGCAGGTGAATCTGCTCAACGAGGAGGATATACCGCACACGGCCCTGGCTGCTGTTGGGGTGAGTGTCACGGATCCGGGCCAGCACAAGACCTTCCAGTTTCACATGGAGTTGATGAAGAACGATTTGGATGTACACGAGATAGAACCGAAGGCACGTAACTGCTACTTCCCCGAGGAGGTGTTGCCATTCAGTGTGTACAAGGCCTATAGCTTCAGTACCTGCATCACCGATTGCACGCGCCAGTTCCAGATGAAGATGTGCGGCTGTACTCCATATATGATGAATCCCTTTGCTGATCCGCGTTATCCGGACTGCGATCTGGCCGGATTCAACTGTTTGGAATCGCATTTCATGGTCAAACCGGACGCCAAGCTGCTGCTGGGGAAAAGTAATGGCAAGACCAACTGCGAGTGCCTGCCATCCTGCAACGAGGGCGATATCCGAGCTATTTACGAGTCGGTGTCCGAGTGAGTAACCATTTGTTGGATGCAATGGCGTTTAGTATGGTTAAAATTCCATTCTATTTCCTTCCCGTAGCTTTAATCGGAGCAGCACTGCTCGGAATATAACGCTCTCCATGCCGGCTCTGCCCACGGATCGGTATCGCCGGATGGCACTTCGCACACGGTTAGACGTTGTGGTGTCCACGGGCGGTATGCTGGGCCTCTTGCTTGGCGCCAGCATCCTCAGTGGCATCGAGTTTATCTACTATTTCACAGTGCGAGCGCTGAACAACGTGCTGCAGGCGCGCTCTCACCGTGCGTAATTGGTCGCCTGCCAGGGGCCGATTTAAATTATCTCGGCGATGTTCCCAAAAGCAGATACTCTGCCCAGATGGAAATACAGGCAGACAGATAAAGACAGAGATGGGGAAAAATCTGGAAGAAAGCAGAGTCTGGAATACACATTCGCTTGAGTTGGGTTATTCCTTGACCTGAGTCGCATGTGGCGTATGCGCAATTTAAAAATTTTATTAAATATTTGCTCGCCTCGGTCACTGCAATGCGCATTAAAAATGCAACCATGGCATGCAGTCAGAGGATGCCAAGGATACCAAGGATACCGAAAACGTGAATGCCACGAGCCAAGTGTGAAGCTGAAAATCAATGAAACTCACAATTTGCACAGTCAGCAAATGCCTCTTGGCGACAACGACAACTGCAATATACATATATCTCCTCGAGTATACTGTATGTATACTGTATGTATACTTTTGGCCACCTCTCAAGCTTCATAAGATTTTCATTTGGTTGGCTCGTGTTGCTTAGTTTTAAATATTTAAAATGCCATAACAATAGAAAAGACCCCCGGAAGGCAAAACTCACTCAAAGGCAGAGGAAGAGAAATGTAATCACATTAATTCTTTGCCGGTTTTTCCTTTTGCAGTTGCCTTTGCCTTTTGCCCCTTTTTCAGCTTTTGTTACTTTGGTCACCTCCACAAAGGTTAATTAATTACGCTCTACGCCAATTAACGCCGAGATATGGTACGGGAATGGGCCTAAGCTTTTACCATTTGGGAAATGGCCACAAAAATAAGGTTGCATTTGGCGGAATTTTCTTTCGAAAGCGGAGCAAAATTTGACAAAAAAGAATTATAAATAAATGATGTTAGAAAAACAAGAAAAATGCTAAGGATGATTTCAGATATGAACTGTAATTAAAAATATCTGAAAATACATAAAAATGAATTTCGTATGTCATTCCCTACTCACAAATTATTATTTCTTAAGGAACATATGTACATATGTATGTATATACCTAAGCTAACTTAATTATTTTAATATTTCATTTTAAATGCATTATAATAAATTTAAATAATATATTAAATAATATACAAATAAAATAAATAAATTTAAAATTGTTCTTATAAATTTAAGTATAATTATCTTCTTGTTCAACATGGTCTCTCGTTTGTATTCTCTGATATTTTAACTGCCTACTTGAGACATGTACGACATGTGTGTGTATAAATACGATTTTATTTGTATTACATATATCACACAACCTTTTAGATATTTTATTTTGTATACCCGATACTCAAAATGAGTATTGGGGTATATTAGATTTGTGGTGAAAATGGATGTGTGTAACGTCCAGAAGGAAGCCTTTCCGTCCCCAATAAGGGCCGATTGAGCCATATTTGTCTGTCTGTCCGTCCGTCCCTATGAGCGCCTAGTGCTCAAAGACTATAAGAGCTAGAGCAACGACATTTTCGATCCAAACTTCTGTAATATGTCACTATTACACGTGTATTTCCGCCCTCTCTGTGGTGTCGTTTAATATAAGCGGCTTCTGCCGGAGGAGAGCCGTACTGACTAAGTATCGGGTATAAATGTAGAGTTGCGGTAGCCGCAGCAACTCACAATGTTCCCCCTAGTTTTAACTATAATTGTTTCTCCTAATTGTTAATATTCTCTGTGGAATTCCACTTGCAGGGTATCTTTTTACCAAGGAACTAGGACCACTGAGAGGCCACAGGGAGAGCCACTGCCGCTTGCCGCCAACACATACAAAATACTATCACATTTTCATATAGCCACATATACATATACATACTTATATATAAGTATGTATTATAAATGTATAGTCCACTCGTCTTTTTGCCTTTCATTTCATTTGCCAGTGGGTCCGCTGTGGCTTCCTTTAGGCCGGGCCTTTTACTTTAGCGCATTCGCATTCACATTTATATTTATTGTGCATTTGTGTTTGGTTTATGATGAAAATCCCCTTAGCTCACTCAAAGGCTTTTCCGCACAATGTTGAGAGAGGTCTCCCAATGCCCGACCCCAGTTGCAGTGAAAGTATTTCTCCAGGAGTGGCAGCGGCAACAATGTTAACCGTATCTGTCCGGCAAAAGTTTTGTCGGGGGGACATTCAGCCAACATTGTCGGGCGGCGTTGTATCATTTATCAAGCTCAGCGCGGGAAAAAAGGGAAAAATGAAAGCAAAGAAGGAAGCGGGGAAAAACACCTAAAACAGAAATAAGGAAAGGAGAACATTTTTGTCATGTTAAACTGTCAGAGTGCGCATTTAGTCATTACTTACATTTTCTGTTCTTCCGCTGGCACTTTCTCTGCTCTCTGTACTCGCTGTAATACCCTCTCTTCTTATCTGTTTCTCTTTGTCGCTGTCAGTCTCTCGTGCAAATGCTCACACACACACGCGTCGTACTGCGGACCTACACACCTACACATGTCACACGCTTGTGTGCGAAATGTAATTAAAAGTTGGCATGCAAGTCTGCGGCTGAGCTCTCGGCCATGGCCATTAGCATAGCGCTGAAAAGTGTGCTACGTTACGTATATACTATATTATTTAAACGGAGCACCGCATCGTCATTTATCAAAACGGCTCACAAAATGTTAATTATTATGTTTTATTACCCCAAAAGTCAGAGCTGGAATTCGTTGGAATTCGTTGTTTCTCAGTGTTTGTTTTTGGCCGTGATTTGGCTCGACACTATGAAATATGCTGCCGGCATGTGGTCGCCTGACCAGGCCATCACAGGAATTTCCACGATCTTAAATCATTCCGCCCAGCGCTGACGGACACTCCATACAAGTCTGCGAGTATATAGCCATATAAAAGTATATATACGTGCATATAATAATTCTATAATACTTTCCGGTCATTGAATTCAGCGGCGCCAAAGTCAAGCATCACGGCGTGGAGCCAGAACAAGTGCGAAATAATTAAAATTCAAATAACTTCATTAAAAATTTAACTCGAGTGCCAGAGAATTGCAAGTAAGTGGGTAGGATCTGGCTCTTGGCTGCATTTCAATTGCGTTCAGCCATTGCAATTGCCAATAAGAAACGCTAAAATAAGCAATTGCCAGTGAGCCCGTAAAAGAAATCCACGTCGAACAAGAGGGAGAAGGGGCAGGAGTTGAAGGCTGAACGAAGGAAAACTTTGCTTTTCCTGCAGAGCGTAGAGGAAATGGTAACTATTTTTCAATTACCTTTTTCGCACGCACGTTTGCTTAGCATTCGGTTCCTTTGAGAAGGATATTTGCCAGGTGCTAGGAGCAGGAGCAGCAGGCTACCAGGGGTATGCTCTACCCAGACCGGGCTGATGATGATCTCAAAAGAGCTATGGATAGATTATGGTAGATCTGAGCATCATTTAAATAATACATAAACTGCATTTATTGAACAATTTACGTGTTGTGCTTCTTGTGTTTCGCAAAAAAATAGAGAATTATTTCGTTGGAATATACTGCTGCTTAAAATGGTTATTTCTCTTCTTCGAGCTTTCATGTTTATTTTTCCCGTTGAGCTCATCTCAATGCATGACTGTTGCAATGCCTTTCCTCTTTTCTCAGACAGACAAACATACGTGGCGCACATGGCCATGGTTGAGTGTGTTAAGTGTCTGTAGTTAGCAGTTTTTCAATCAGCATGCCACGCCCACACTTCCCACACGAAAACAACAACAACAACAGCAGCAGCGATGGAATAGCGGAAATAGCTGTGAGACGACCCAGCAAGCTGGCTTAGTGTTAACAATTGCCTTCACTGCAGGTTTCCTCCTGCTGCTCCTTCTTCAACTATTTTTTTTTCTTTTTAAATTTCCCCTAAGCGGAAATCTATTTAAATTGAATTCTATTCTTCGGCATTGCAATTCATGCCGAGGTGCATGCAGCCTTGTCTGTGAAGCAGTGGCATCAGCAACCGAGCAATGGGAAGCACCGGCTCTTCTTCTCGTTTGGTTGAAGTTTGAAAAGTTTTGCGCACAGCAGATCGCACTTTACGCATTGAGAATTATATTAAATCCTTGGCTTGCATTTCCATTTCAATGGATAATCATTATGAGTGGAAGCCGCTGGTGCTGGCGCTGGTGCCGCTGCTGTTTCTTCTTCAGCTTCAGCTGCTTTCACTGCGGCTGCTACTGACGGCACTTGCCGTCACCATATGTATTGTTGCTGTGCAAGCCATTTTGCAGCACACACACACACACACACACACAGATGCTCAGGGATATTATGCATTTTTCACACATTTATGTAGCTTTTGATTGTACTCAGCGTAGGTGTAAATACTTGCCACTGGCATTTGCACAATGTTGCACAACACACATCGTATGAGTAATATTTATTCACGCTCTGCTTTTGTCTGCCCAGAGATGCATATGTGTGCATCCGAGAAAAGAGAAGTAAAGTGAAGCAAAGTGGAGCAACAGAAGCATTCAACATATGCCAGGCATAAACATAAGCAGGAAATTCATTTTTCATTTGTTTGCCTAAAAAGTTTCCGAGCTGAGCTGAGTGATGAAGATGCTGCCTCTGCCTCTGCCTCAGCATCAGCATTATAAATATTCATCATATGCCAGTGTGCTCGCTTATTATACGCAAATTAAGGCAAAGCCAACGTTATTTTTTGGTGCTGAAGGAGCAACCTCAAACACCCGAAAACAAATTTGAAATTCCAACCAGCGCCGCTCGCGCCTCGAGTGTGGAAAGCCATTGCAATTTGCTTTTTCCAAAGCAGTTCGACGGCCTTTCGAGCCTTTTCGCGAGCGCGTTTCTGTTGTTGGTAACGTCGTAGAACATCAGCTGTTTAACGCCCGGCATTTTGCAAATTTATGTCTTCAAAAGAGTTGCACATGCACCGGCGCCGGTGCCGGTGCCTGTACAGGCTCGACTCTGCTTTCCTCTTCCTCAATATACACATAGAAAACTTTATAATACGTGTATGCATATAACACGGCCGACGGGGTCCTTGAGACGGGCCGTCTCCCGTCTGCTTGCTGGCTGCCGTGCCGTGGCTGCCGGGGTTGCACGAGTATGTGCGACTTGTTTTGGCAAGTGTTTTGCGGGTCGCTGGCGTTGCTGTCGGATCGGGCCAAAAGGAGTTGAATGGCACACGGCTCAAGCAATATGAGAAACTTGGCGAATACTTCGGCTGTTATC